GACTGACCTTAAAGTTTTTCTAAAGGCGCTTTCGGCGCCAATCTATAATAATTTTGAATGGGAAACGCGCGCCGAAAAAACGCGATTTTTTGGTCGAAATTTTCCAAAAAGTGCCTAAAACCGCCTTTTTTGGCCTTTTTCAATTTTTTTTTTCAAACTTTTTTTGAAAATCCGCCCCCTCGAGGAATTCCTAGATCCGCGCCTGAAATTAGGCATGCTTTTTAGCCTTACTGTTCCAGTACGAGATACGAAAAAAATCGCTGTGTTCCTTGCATAATGTGTGGGGGTTTCATCAAGTTTTTCTACAAATTTAATTCTATCAGGGGAACACTTCGAATGTCCCGAATGCAATTTAACGTTATTGAACGCGGCGTCTTCGCAATCAAAGAAGGCGCGGCATCTTCCCTATAGTCCCCAGTTGAGAATAGCCACCCATAATCATCAAATCACAGTTAGGGGGACTATTTTTTTGCTAAAAGACTATGAGAAAGAGGGGCTCTTTTTCCTTTTCCCCCCACCTGCAAATTTTCACATGTAAATTTGTTGACCACATTGTCCGATTGTAATGAAAATTTACACAGGGACTGATAAGGTCACAACAAACATATTTGGTCTTCATACCCATCCTCGTAAAACACTCGTTACCTTAATATATTGAAGCTCATGTGAGATGGGGGGAAAAGGAAAAAGAGCCGAAAGAGGGCTTCAATACAGAAAACCTACATATTTTTTTTTTTGAAACTTTTGAATTATTATAAATTATCAGTGTCTTTTTCTTCCCCAACTGCAAAATTTTTTTGCGTGCTATAAATTTGGGGAACCGGCCTATAAGCATGTGTGTCGATTAGCATGCCCATGTAAAAGAATGTAATTTGAATATTCGCTTTTTCACGTTTTGTTTACTCAATGCACTCGAAATTTTGAACAGATGTGCACTCCAAATTTTTAAATCGGTGAAAATGAAATGTTAACTCCCCTAACAAATCAAGTGGTTGTTTTCGAAATTATTTGAAGTTTTATACTAATTTTTTTTCGACTGAAAGCACACCCAGTTAAAGCAATTATCGCATGCTAATAGGGACACATTCTAATTGCTACACCCCAACAAATTTGAGTCAAATCAGTTTAAAAAGCGCGTTCAGACAATTCGGCAAGAGACAATTCAGCCAATTTCAAACTCAGACAATTCAGTCCAAATGAGTGAGACAATTCGGCCAAAGATTATTCAGACACTTTTCACAAAAACAGCGCAAAAACTTTTCACATGCGGCAAAACATCAAAGTTTTCATTAGACGACTTATTAGTAATTCTTTTCAAATGCACATAAACAATTAAAATTAACAGAACCAAAAATACCTAAACATAATAAATTCATTATATTTCCAATTTTTGAACAGTAGTTAAGCAAAAATCGAACTCAACAAAAAACTGCGCAAAACTTAAAAGTTAACCAATTTACACGAAAGCAGACCCGAAATTGGGGATTTTACAGGCGGTCAAAAAGGATATCAGTTAAAGGGCTGACCACCCCTACCACGTACTGGCCACACAGTTACGCTGATACTCTTATCATGCCTTAGGCGGGGGATGGTGCAACCGCCAATCAGGTAATTTGGGTAGTTGGTTGAAACTAGTTGAAACTCAAATTTTTTTAAAAGATAAACTAATTGCGATTAAAATATTGACCAACCAGAAACCAGCACCGCGTTTAGCGCCTACTTTTTGCAGTTAAATGGTCCATTGACACATTTAACATTGGTTAATCTTCATTAGTAAGTAGCTTGAACAACTGGTTGATTAGTATCCGAATCATTCTCATTCATTCACTTTTAGCAAAAATTGACGTAAAATGGAATTCGTTTTATCTGAACGCGGAAAAAAAACATCTTTGTCTCAACGGTTATAGATACCGTGAAAAAAACCAACCTAAGAATGGTTTCAATAAATGGCAATGTACATTTGGAAGTTGCAGAGCAGTGGGTTATTTGGACGAACAGCAAGAATTTACCTTAAAAACCGAGCACGCTCATTTACCGAGCCTCTCAAAAATTCAAGCCAAGAAATTTGCTAATGAAGTTCGAGAAAAAGCCGCAAACACGGTTAACGCTCCTAGACAGATTGTTTTCAACGCCCAAATTGACCTGCCTCTTTATGCAGCGCCCACAATACCGAGTTACCCATCATCTCTTCGAAGTATAAACAGAATCAGGCAGCAAGCTTTAGAAACAATGCCAAAACTAAAAATTTTTGAGAGCGTCGAAGAAATTTCTGAACCTCTAAAACTCTCACATAGCAGTGATACGTTCCTATATTTTGATTCTGGTAAATCGGACAGTCGAATTCTAGTTTTTGCAACATTACCTGCGCTCGATTTGCTTTCTCAGTCAGAAATCTGTCATTGCGATAGAACATTTTCAGTGGCACCAGACGTCTTTTACTAAGTTTATACTATTCATGGTGTAATCGAAAACGCAGTTATACCCTTGGTGTATGCTTTGCTGCCCAATAAGACGCAAAACACTTACGAAAAACTTTTTGGCTGCTTAGAGCAATTTGAAAAAAAGTAGTCATTGATTTTGAAGCCGCTGTTCGCAACGCCATAAAAAAATTCAGCCTGATACAGAAATCCAATTCTGTTTCCTCACCTCGGCCAAGCAGTATGGCGCAAGGTACAAAAACTTGGTTTTACGTGCAAGTACATGGACGAAGATGAGTTTCGACTGAATGTCAAAAAAAACAATTTGCTTTGCATTCGTTCCCATTGACGACGTTATTTTCGCTTTTGAGGCGCTCCGAAAAGAGGATACCTCAGAGGAATTCCAGAGTCTATCGGACTACTTCGAAGACACCTATATTGGTGCTTTTAGAGGGAATAGATGCGTCAAATCGAAGTTTGACATTGCCGATTGGAACGCTTTCAATCGGGTGCTCAGCGGAGAACCTCGTACGAAAAATGCGTTGGAGGCATGGAATGGCAGCTTCAATAAGTTCGTATCGACAAAGCATCCAGCCCTTCCCAAGTTGATCACACGTTTCAAAGACTAGCAAAAAACGCCGAAATTAATGTAGAGAGACTGACGACCGGTGATCATATCAGAAAACAGAAGCCCAAGTATTCAATAGCAAATGATAAACTCGTTCAAAACGCAAACAACTACAATCGAGACCATATACAGAAGTATTTAAAACTTTGTACCTTCAATGTACATATTTCGTAAAACTTTATGCATAGCAAGTTTGTTTTGATCTTTGAAATTTGTTATTTGATGTTTCACATTTCTTTGGTAAAGTGGTGATAGCCTTCTGCTTCTAATCAAATTAGTAAAGTTTTAATGTTCCCTTTTATCTTGTCTCTTTAATCTAAATAGGCCGAATTGTCTTTGGCTGAATTGTCTGAGTTTTTTGGCTGATTTGTCTGTATTTTAAATCGGCTGAATTGTCTGTGGCTGAATTGTCTCTGCGCCTTTAAAAAGATCTTGAGCGCGGGTTGAATTGTCCCGCTCAAACAAACCGCGCTGATGTTTTCATTATTAAAAATCAATTCTGAAAATCCACATAAACTGAACATATCAAAATAGCTATTTTTAAACCGTATAAGTTTACCGAAAAAGAGAGCAGCAGGTATTTTATTTTGTACATTTGAACTTAGAGAGTAGAAATCTTCATTGAAGTATTACACAGTTTTTGCCGAAATCTAATAATTTGATCGCTGAAGTTGGCCTGAGTAAAAAACGAGTCAAGCATATATAATCAGGGGCGGATTTAGGGTGAGGCGAGAAATGGAAGCCCCCCTCAGGGAATCGGCCCCCTGCCCAACCGCAGGGTCCCCCTTTGGTACTTTTTAAGAAATCCATTTCTGGCCGACCGAGCCTACTTCGGCGCCAATATATACTAACTTTGGCGGCTTTTTGACCTGTTTTTTTTTCAAAAATGGCCGAAACAGCGTCTTTTTAGTGCTTTAGGAGAGCTCGGAAATCAATTTGGCCTACCTAAAAAAGGAATCTGCCAAACCTGCCAAAAATCTGCCAACCCCTCCCCCCCTCCTCGAGAAAATCTTAGATCCGCCCCTGTTTATATTACTTAAGTTTCTTCGAATGTTTGAACAAAAATCGGCTCTTTTCCACTTCCCCCTCACACCATCTTTGATTTTCAATTTTGAAAAACCGTTTCCCGTTTCAACATTGTCATAGCACTTGTGATTAAATTAACAAATTTGACTTGTGATTAAATTAACTCATGAGAATAGATTAGTTCTTCATACTTAACACCGTAAAATTTCGCATTCAGACATTAAAACACGTGTAACAACTATGAACTTGGATAATTCGAAAGTCTCTTTTTCCCTGCCCAAAACATCAGCTAAGAATCAATTTTATGGTGTAAAGATGGGTTTACATGGTTAAGGACGAAGACCAAATATGCCTTTCAAGGTCTAATTAGTCCGCATGTTAAGTTTTGTAACAATCGAACAAAATGGAAAAAAATACTTTTAAAAATTTGCAGATAGGAAGGAAAAAGAACCAATTCAAAATGTGAGTTGGAATTGGTAAAAGAGCCCATAAACGATTCAATGCTGCCGGCTCGCTGAAGTTTTATGTCGTTTTACTGAAACATTATTGATATAGGATGAGCTAATCATCAACCACTAGCAGTAAAAAGCATGCTTTATTTGAAAGTTTTTAAGTTTTTCGTTTTTCTCTAGAAAAGTTCCCTTGGCGGCTGTTTCTCATGAGCTGCGCCGCAAACTGAGAAAAAACTGTTTCAAGAACAATTCACACTATTCTTTTTGTAGCGTGGAGGTTGCCCTAATGAGAGTGCGCACGTTCGTTTCAATCAAAATTCATTTTTAGAGTAAATATTTGAAGTGGTTGGAAAAAACTAGCAGACCATTTGGATAATTAAACTACAGTATAAAACTGATGCCGCCAGAATTGTTAGTCTGATACATAAAAACAAAGTTGTTAACTAAGAACAAAGTAATGCAGAAAAAACATGTACGTTATACTTAAGCTGCGTTTTCTATTGTCGTATACTCGTACGAAAACTTTTCAGGTGGTTTCTCTCGTGACGTATATCAAAGAACAACATTTGATTATTTAAAATTCTTAATATAGTTGATATCAAATTTTAGTCAAATGTGGGCAATCCGATTCATAACAGATGTTGTTTCGAGGTCAACTTTTGTGTCCCTTGCCCTCTTGTATCTTCTGCTGTTACCATCAGTAGTTGAGTCCAGAGTAGCCGAGGGAGGCTTGTTCGACAGAGAGATCGAGGAACTTCTGGCCGTTAAGCAGCGAGGAACATACGGTATTTAGTCCAATTTATTCCTTTAGCAGCAAAAAAAATTTGAAAAAAAAAATCACTAGAAAGTTGTCAGAAGAATACAAGAAAGTAACGCGGGACTCAAAATTTGTGTGGGCAACCAGCCAGAGGCGGATGTAGGGGGTGACGGTGGGGTGGGGGCGGACGCCACCCCCTCAGGGATTCGACCCCTTGCCGATCCAAAGGGTCACCCCATTGTACTTATTTGAGATAACCATTTTTTGCTGACTGTTTTCAAAAAGCGCCTTTGGCGCCAATGTATACTAAATTTGAGCGGGGAGCGCGCGCCAAAAAAAGCGTGCTTTTTTGGTCAAAATTTTCGAAAAGTTTTCCAAAAGACAATTTAGCCAAAACAGGGTCTTTTAAGTGCTCTGAGAGAGCTTGGAAAATCAATTTAATCGACCTAAAAATGTCGACAAAAGTCTAGATACACCCCTGCAACCAGCCCTTCTCTTCTTTGGTTTTTTTGGGCGGAATCACTGGTCGAAATGAAATGCGAAAAATTGTGGACAACTTGTCGTCAGCTCTGTGCAAACAAACGCCTTTTTCATCATCATGCCGTTGGTGATTTGAAACCATTTAAGAGAGTTTCAAAACTTTATACTTCAAAAAACGACAAATATTTGAAAGGGTTTACGTTTCTTCTGTTTTTAAAGCAGGGTTTTCATGAGATACCAAACTCGGCCCAAGATACAAAAGAGAAAAAACTGTTGCTTAAAAAACACCTTCTTTTTTTAAGGCAAATTAATCAAGATAGACAAGTTTAAACTATGAACAAAATGTTTCATTTACTAAAGATGGTTGAAACAATCGGTGCTGAAACTTGACCGGCTAAGTCTTTTTTTGCACTATTTGGAAAGGAGCGTTGTATCGAGTGTTTGCCTCTCCCGCGGGGTTTCAGTCAGTAACCACAAACACGCATTGTACGAGTTCGAGTGATATCTCCTATTGAACATTTTTTGTTCGCATAGTTTGGAAATTTTTTTATTAACTATCGGAGACGAGAAACTCTGTATATTTCTGCTTTTCAGATTAAATTTTGTCATCACAATGACAAGTTAAAGTGATGCTACTTGGTATATTAACGCTATTTCAGCTATCGCATGTTAGTTTTGTAAGCGCGGTTCTGGTTACTCAGCCCTAAGCAATAACAGACAAAGAAAGAAACCAAGAAATGAGAACACGTTAGCAAGAAAATGTTTTTATCATTGAGCAAATATAAGACTCTTTTTCTTTTCTACCACCTCAAATAAGCATTAATTTTATGGTAAAGCCTGAAGATCAAGCACTCATGCCGTGGCCTTAATATGTAAAATTGGTTTGCATGACAGTTTCTGTAACAACTGATTAAAAAATTAGGTATTATGAAAATGTATCGGATTGGGTTTTTCAGTTTTCAATTTTTTTTGAGACTGTTTGGAAATTTTTTCATTTTTTTTTCAAAAACTAAATGTTTCTGAAAAAATTACTGTACCAATTTAGGAAAAACTGGTACCAATGAAAACTCCGCTCACTCTTCTGTGCGCCTGCCTAAAACATTATTCACTTTTTTACCATACCCCACTTCCTACAGCCTTCGAAAAAAAGTGTGAGGGGGGATTTTTCACTCAAGTTTTTGGATTTTTACATTTTCTCAAAAACTAGTCATTCAATCTGAGACTTTGGGTTCAGTGGATAGATTTTAGCTTTTCAATGGGTTGTGAGAAGCTCCCCTGCACAAGCGGCCACGTCTATTTTTTTCTAAAACAAAATTTTATGGCCCTCAGGAAAGTCAAACTTTCGATTTTTTTACCGTTTTTTGAAAGTTTCTGAGGTTTTAGTTTCAATCGTAAGAATGGGTTATTGGAACCTCCCCTACATAAGCGGTTACGCCCATTTTTTTTAACACAAAAATATTGACCCTTGGAAAAGTCGATCTTTCAATTTTTTTGCTTTTTTTGAAACTTTTAGACTTTTCTCGAAATCTGGGAATTTGGGGTCAACAGATAGAAAAATTTGTGGAAAATTCCCCTGCATGAGCGGTGACGCCCAATTATTTTGCACAAAAAGTGATGGCCCTCGAAAAATCCGAATTTTCAACTTTTTTGACTTTTTTAAAAATTTTTAGATTTTTTTCAAGAACGACGCTCCCAAATCTAGAATTTTGGGTTTCAATGGATAGAAAAAGTTGTGGGAAGCTCCGCTGCGTAGGCGGTGACGCCCAAATTTTTTTGCACATAAATTTATGGCCCTCGGAAAAGTCGAGGTTTCGATTTGTTCACCTTTTTTTGAAACATTTGAACTTTTCTCGAAAACTACACTTCCAAACAGGGGCGGATCTAGGATTTTCTCGAGGGGGGGGGGGGGGGGGGGGCGGTTTTTTCAAAAAAATTTTGAAAATTTTGACGACCTTTTTTTTTAGGTCGACCAAATTGATTTTTTGAGCTCTTCCAGAGCTATTTTGGCCAAATTTTTTGCGCCGCAGGCAAAATTTTGAAAAAACAGGCCAAAAAAGGCGTTTTTAGGCACTTTTTGGAAAATTTTGACCGAAAAATTGCGTTTTTTCGGCGCGCGCTCCCCCTCAAGATTAGTATATATTGGCGCCAAAGGCGCCTTTAGAAAAATTTTAGGGTCGGTCGGCCAAAAACGGATTTCTTAAAAAGTATCAAAGGGGGACCCTTTGGGTCGGCAGGGGGTCGAATCCCTGGGGGGGGGGGGGGGGGGGGGCGTCTTATATGGCTCTCACAAGTTCAAATTATCGATTTTTCCAACATTTTTTGAAACTTGATTTTCTCGAAGGTTATCCTGCAAAACCGAACTCAAAAAAATTCACTCCTAGTTATTTTACTAGAGAACTAACTGGGGTTTTTGGTGAAGCCCAGTTTTGAATTTTCCCTTTCCCTGCGCATCAGCTTAAAAAAAATCAAAAATTATCAAACGGGTATTCCAGCTTATAGCTGGCCTCTAGTCGGACAATGTGAACTATGTAAAAATTCACAGGTGGGGATGGAGAAGAGGAAAAAGAGTCAAAGTATGCAAGAGTTTTCTGGGCTCCTTGCATAGCAACAGGCTGCCCTTCTTTAATTTTTTGTATCTGTCTTTTTATTTGTTTCAGTGGAATGCGAGCCACATGAGTTCAGATGTTCCCCTAGAGAATGCATCGATGAATCAGAGTATGCTCGTCAACCACCCACATGCACTCAATGGAGTTTCCGCTCCAAAATAATGTAGCCTAATCGGGGGCGGATTTTGGGGGAGTTCGGACGCTTTCCCTGAGGGACTCGACCCCCTGCCGACCCAAAGGGTCCCCCATTTGTAATAATTTGAGTTATCCATATTTGGTGACGGACCCTAAAAAGATCGAAAATTATTTCAAAAGTTTTTTTCCAACCCCCCGCCCCTCAAGAAAATCTTAGATCCGCCCTTGAGTCTAATGAAGTAACTCAATCTTGAATTTTCCAAACTTGAAACTTCCACAATCCTTTTAAGCGGTTGATGATATAACACTCAAATACTCATTGAGCGGAAACTGCATGGGACTAATCTTCCAGATACGAAGGAGGCAGTAAGTATATACAGTTGAAAACACTCAATATACATTTTGCCTTTAATATTTCTGTCCAAGAAGATTTTGGTTTAAAAAATGATACAATAAAAATTTTTACTGTGTTAGAGACTCTTTTCCAGTCCCCCTATCCTGTGATTTTTTCAAACTCATCATTTCAAAATTTATTTAAAATGACTTTTCATGTTAAAATCTGTATTAAAATGCGTCAGCCTGAAAAGGTTATCAAATTTCTACAACTTTTTTTACCTGGGAAATGCAGTGTAAACAATTTTTGGACAGCTTCATTATGAAGTGAACTTCCGCTTTTGAAAAAACCAGTTTTGAGAATTTTAAGTTTCAATGATTGCTCTAATACTAGTTTTGATAACCTGTAGTGGGTTGCTAAATACTTCGGCTAACTAATTATTTGAATTCAGGTGAGCTAATTGGACCAAAAACTTAATTGACGCAAATCTTATCACTTTGATCTGGACATTGCCAATTTAAAATTTTCAAAACTGATTTTCTTAAAAGCCGAAGTTCACAGCTAGTCAAAAATTGTTTACAAGGCGTTGTGATATAAAAAAATGTTGTAAAAATTTTATCAATTTTTCAGACTGACAGGTTTTAATACAATTTATAAAAAGAAAAGTCATTTTAAAACACACCCTACTCCATAGTTCTTCCCATTTTGTAAAGCGGTAGGAACAGTAATTTCAGGGTTCAGAAAGTACATAACCATCATGTTTTTTCTGAACCCTGAAACTACTCTTCAGACCAATTTTCGAAATGGGAAGAGCTATGGCGTAGGCTGTGTTTTTTACCAACATACTTTGGCGGCATCAAAAAAGCTTGTAGATGATCAATTGAGGTATCAAGTTAAACTTAACTTGAACATTTTCTCCCAGCGTTGAAGAAATTGTTTACATTTTTTGTTTTTCAGACCAAAACCTATCTCAAACAGATGTTTCAACAGTCTGCTTCTTCATGACTTTTTTACTCAAATTATGAAAGGATTAATCATTAATTAAATATTTCTGTCGATGTGTCACCATTTTTGTTTTTATTCCATAACTTGTTCCAGTCAGATGTGATGGAGTTCAACAGTGCAGATCATCAAATAAAGATGAGAAAAATTGCGCCTGGACAAGAGAAATGCAGCTCTGAGGACATTTTCTTCCATAAATGTGTTTATTTTGTTCTAAAAACGATATTAATTAAAAAATAAAAAAAATTTCAGTGCCCAATTTTTTTTTTAAAAATTTTGTGAAGGGTAAAATAATTCCATAGAAAAGCCGCTCTCTTTGGTCACCATTTGTTCTATTGTTTCCTTAAAGTGTGCCAAGTGACCCACACGCACATATGGTGTGTCCATTTAACGCACAGTTTGGCCTCGTTGTTTTTTTTTCACTTGAGGCTTGACTCAGCAATGTCAAATAGCTTGTGTTGTGAAACCCGCACTGTCAAAAATGGTTTTGGATTGATTTAAATTGTTTTAAGTTTTAAAATCGATCCGAAGTGATTAACAGTATACATCGTATGAATTTGTTTAAATTTTAAATTGGTTTAAATCGAGCTTTCTTGAAAACTTCGAATCGATATGATTGTCTAAACAATCGACTTAAATCAATTTATTTTCACTTATCCGAATTCCACTTATATTCATCAGAATCTCTTTTAAATCCAATTTAAATTGATTTAAATTTCTTGACATTTTTGGATCAATTTGAAAGTTTCAAAAAACGATTTAAGAAGGTTTGGATTGAATTTTTTACTCACTATTGATTTTTTTGCTAACAAGGCAAAAAAAGTGCTATTCAAAAAAGTAGTTGCACTAATATTTTCTTGATTTTCTTAAACAAAAAGACAGCTGCGAGATGTTTTAGAATTGGAGAAATAAGTCCACAAAAATCCACAAAACCTTAATAATTCAAAAGTTGGGCTCATATATTTGCAATGAATCATCAAAAACTACAATTTTGAATCAGATATTGGGCTAAAATTAATGTAAAAACTCAAGAAAATGGTCAATATTAATCTGAATTTGATGTCAAAATGTGCAATGAAATCATAAAATAATATCTATAATCTAAAAGTAAGATCAATTTAAATCATTTTAAAATTGATCCGAATCAATTTTAGTTTTGTTTTTTCAAATTTCGAATTTTTTGATACTAAAACCGATCTCAAATGAATCTACATGCTTTTTTCATGCTAAAAACGACCGTAATCCGTTTTTGTCATTTCGGGGTAGCTTTACGTTATCCTCGTTGATTTGCAATTATAGTCAATCATTATATAACAATTGCCAGAGACCCGGAGAAAAGTTACGACATATATGAACTGAAACATCGACGATTTTTAATAGGGAAATGAACAAGCTCATTGTGCTTTGTTGTTTTTTTTCTCCAGAAAAGTTTCAACTTTTTAACGAGCAATTTTGTAGGTTTTTTGAGGTCTTAAATGTTAATGTTCGGGCACAGAGTCCCAACATACTAATTTTAAGTCGCAATGGTCGCAACATACCTGAATTGCATTGCAAGTATCGCAACATTCCTTTTTTGGGCAGTGCAAAGTCGCAACGTATCATTTCTGGGTCGCGCAAAGTCGCATAAGAAGTTTTCGAGCGCAAAGTCGCAGAGAATTTCTTTGGTCGCGCAAAAATGCAAAATACCCATTTTGAGTCACAATGGTCGCAACATACCTGACTTGGAAATCAAGGGTCGCAACATTCCTTTTTTGGGCAGTGCAAAGTCCCAACGTATCATTTCTGGGTCGCGCAAAGTCGCATAAGAATTCTTCGATCGCGCGAAGTCGCAAAATACGCATTTTGAGTCGCAATGGTTCCAACATACCCGACTTGGATCGCAATGGTCGCAACATTCATTTTTTGCGCCGTGCAAGTTGCAACGTATCATTTCTGGGTCGCGCAAAGTCGCATAAGAATTCTTCGATCGTGCAAAGTCAGAAAACAAAAACGCGTTTTGAGTCGCAGTGGTCGCAACATACCTGATTTGGGTCGCAAGGGTCTCGACACAGCTATTTTCAATTTTCAATCGTAATGATCGCAATAAGTCCCAGACATCGAGACCGGTTTTGAGCTCAAGCAGTTTTTCGAGTTGTTGGGTGTTTCTAATTCCGGATATTGAATGGTTGTACTGGCTCTCAGTTGCTTTTTTTTGCGTTTGCCTTTTCCCACGCTTATATATTTTTTGAAAACTCCAACCAAATTTTAATTGGTCTGAATCTTGTCTCTGCAGATGTGTAGCTATGGCTTAATCAATTTGGCAGTGATGGGGCTTCTTGCGTCCCGGGCTGAGGTGCTCAACTCAAGATTCGATCGAAATAGTTGAACGTTGTCCGTTTTCGACTTTTTTAGTCGAAAGATGTCAGATTTCAAATTTTTGAGTCGAACGATGTCCGTTTTTGACTTTGTTCGACTTTACCGGCCAATGTTCGACTTTCTTTGACATTGTACGACTTTATCGGGAAGTAGCAGAAGATTCTCGTCTGCTACTTCCCGATAATTTTCCCACGCTTATTTTTCTTTAGAAAAATGCCAAACAAACTTTTAATTGGTCTGAATCTTGTCTCTGCAGATGTGTAGCTATGGCTTAATCAATTTGGCAGTGATGGAGCTTCTTGCGTACCGGGCTGAGGTGCTCGACTCATAATTCGATCGTTATTGTTGAACGATGTCCGTTTTCGACTTTTTTAGTCGAAAGATGTCAGATCTCATTTTTTTGAGTCGAACGATGTCCGTTTTTGACTTTGTTCGACTTTACCGGACAATGTTCGACTTTGTTCGACATTCTTCGACTTAATCGGGAATTAGCAGAAGTGTCCTGAACTACAACAACACTCGGACATCATTGGACTGTTTCTGTCAAATCAACTTTCAAAAACCCCAATCTGGGCAGTCACAAAATACAATAGAAAATACCACAAAACTGAGCATCGTAGATTCGTGTAGCCCGAGTTGGGTTGTTAGACTTACGTTTCAATGAAACAGACCAAAAATGGCATTTTTATTCTGTTGCGACCGGTTCGACCAGTTAGACCGGTTCGTTTAAAAATGGCTATGTTTTGACCGACTCGACCCAAAATTGCTACGTTTTGACCGACTTGATTACCGAAGAAATGGCTTCGATTGTGTTTGTTGTAAGCTAACTATGTTGCAACCGACTCGACCTATGCTGGCTATGTTTCGACCGACTCGACCAAAGGATAAAGTGTTCGACAGTGTTTCAAGCAAGCCAATTAGTTTTGAACGGACTCAGCCGCTTGAAAATTTGATCGACCGCAGCCCATTATATTTTGAATTACTCGAAGAAATCAGCATGTTTTCAAACGTACCAACTAAACGAAAATGTTTTCAACTGTAATTGGCGCAACTGAAATTTTAAAAAAAATACTAAAAATTCTGTTGAATGAATCAACCAGAACTGAAAAAAGGGTAATAGGCCAATGCGGAGACGGTGCGACTTTCCAGAACAAGGCGAGGACGGCGCGATTTTTCAGGCTAAGGCGGAGGCAGCGCGCTTTTCTAGACCAAGGCGGCGGCAGTGCGACCTTCCTAACACTTATCTCTATAGCTGCTCTTATTTTAGTGGATCCACAAAGATAACCCTATTCTCAGAGCAATCGAAACACGCATAATAAATTGATGGAGGTTGCACATACGTTCTCTTTGTTTCCTCATTTATCAGCTGCACCAAATGCTTTTTACTTTATAATTAAAACTTTATAATTAACTGGCTAATTAGGTGAAATAATGACCAAATGGTTCGACATAATTGGAGCTACTCAGGAAACTGGAGACATTTTTGTCGGTTCTATAGGTGTTAGGTCCATGTAGGGTGACGCTCATTCCGTTCGTACACTTGCTGACTGTGTGATCATCGGGTTTTATTTGTTTTCCATTTGCGAGCTATTACTTTGGAATTCTTGTTCAGAAATTGAAATATTTTTCCCGCGTGTTGTTTCAAGTTGTATTTTTAACTTTTCGTCCAGGGATCACCAAGAACAATTTCTGATCTCAAGAGCTATTAAGAAAATTTTTTGCTATTTTTGGTCTCTTTCTTGATACCCTTTATTCGTATCTGTCCTTTTCTAATTCACTTCTCTTTTTTTATCCACGTCGCTGGTACGTCTGGTTTTGTACCCTTTCCTGGTGTTTCATAATCGGAACTATGATATGGCTGATGTAATTCTATTTTTTGCCTCGAGTCCGATACACTTTTTGAAGTATAGGCCTCTCTTTCTTTTCTCTCTGCTTTTCGTTGTTCTACTTTAGCGACTTTTTTTACGTTAATGGTGTAATCAGGTTGTAGCAGTTTCACTGGTTTGCAAACTTTCTAATATTTTTCAATCTGTGGTTCTCTGCATTTTAACTGTTTTGTCATTTTCCGTATTTGGTAAGATTCGTTTTTCCGTCTATTTGAAAAGTGTGAGGATCTTTGTGGTTGTATGCGTTTCAGCTTCTTTCTTTTTGTTTTCAACGCATTTTCAGATATCACAGTTATCCAAGGAAAGGGTTTGAGTTATCTAGTTATATTTAAATTGAATTTTAAAAAATATCAGAAAATGTACTCGGGATAACCGGTACGTTTTTCTTTTTTTCAATTTTGAGCAAATAAAGCAGGCGAGCAAGCTTACAAAAGCTAGTTTTGGTTAATTTAATCCTTGAATTGTTAACCTCAAGCAGAAAACAAGAAATGATTCAGAAAGAAGGAAGAGATCGAAAGAAGAAAAAGTCTTCCTGATGACGAGCATGAGGGATCTGATAATCCAGGAGGGAATGGCAGTAGCATGCGCGAAGCGGAGGGACGCTCTCTGTTTCATCCGATTCATGATAGAGCAAATTTCAGTGCCAGCATTGAATACTTGTGTCAAGATGCTGAGAGAGGGCGATGGACGAGTGAGAGCCCTACTCTTGCTAGCACTGCTGGATATACTTCAAAGCAAACCAATGAGGGTGAACATGAAAGAACCCATAGAGCTAGAACCCATGAGGAAAATAGACGAAATCAGGAGATTCTCAAACAAGGAGCAGAGGCTCACTAAGGAATCTATGGGAGCACTGCCAAAATTCAATGAATACTGTGGACCGATCAGAAAAAAGTCATACAGTTACGTGTCCGGAGTCATAAGGATAGCGTACAATCCGTTTCTCAGTGAAGACATACGCGATTATTTCTTTGATTACGAGCAAGTAGTGTTGCTGAGGTTCTGGA